GGGGGGGGGGGGGGGCGTCAATTACACTTCTGTGACCCACTTATCAACAAGCGATTTTTTATCTCTGTGACATTTTGCTTGAGAGGCAATTTTCAGAAAATGTTTTGCATTTTCGGAATTTTTGAAACAAAACATTTGTAGGAAATATCTATTGCGACTTCGCCTATTTTTTTCGGGAGAGCTGAGTACATCTTTTGAGGTTGTAAGAAGTTTTCGGCCGATTTTACGTTTTGAGAAATTTTTAAACACTTATAGGTGGGAATCGCATCTGCACTGACCTCCTTCTAATGATTGATTAGAAAGTTTCTTCACTTTTTTGCTTCCAATTCGTCCGTAATGACTTTCTGGTTATTGAAATAGAGCAAGTCAACTGCTTAATGGCTATACAGTAGACGTGTTGTCTTTTACAAGTAAGTAAAACGGCGATATGATTCCAATTCTATATCCCTAGGCAACAACACCATAAATAATACGTAGTGAAAAATTAATACGGCAATAATATATTGCGAATGGACCAATGTGTCCATCGGTTTGTCATCACTGTAAAGTTTAAAATGTATCTGTACGTTCTATTAGCCATTTTCATCATGGATTAAACATGTAACATGGGTTTAACATGTAATAAAACATTAACATAAATGAAATGTTTTATTACTTATGTCAATGGGGTCCCTTTTTCATGGGGCCATCTAGCTTCCCCGTGCGCACGCTTATGGCTCTTCAATTCGTGGCGCGCTGCGTTTATAGATAGATAGATTTATTATTTTTGCAGGTAGGCATACAACCTGGTGGTAGAACACTACAATTTACATATTAAAACTAAGAATAATAATACACTTTATGACTGTCCTGCACGGAATTTTTAACTAATAAATACACCTCACTTCACTTCACTTCACTACACGTGCCTTTCACTTCGCTACACTACACTTGCACTTCACTTCTCTCTCTACTTCTCTATTGCTTATGTTGTGAGTGGGAAAAACAAACGCTCATCGCGTGATGACACAATGCGCCGGAAACGAATTGAGAGTTTCGCTGCGAGAACTGCTCGCTTCCCCTCGACTCTAGCACCATCTCCACTGCGTCAGCGACGGAAGATTGCTACAGCAGAACTAGCAGCTGTCGCCATGTGTTTCGACTTCTTGCTGCTTGTCCCCAGCGTCTCAGACATTCCAATTTCCCTCGCTATTGAGTTTTCATTTATTATTTTCCGTTCCCGGGCGCGTCGTCTGCTGTGGACATGTTCCGTAAGCGTAGTGCGTTATAGAACTGAGAAGTGGCGGTGTTCCTCCCCCTTGAAAATTGGAGATCCAGTACCGAGCTGTACGTAGGTTTGCGAGGTTTTCCTCTCCAGGTCTTTCCACCCGTCCGGAGCAAACTGGAAGCTCTCGACTGATCTCTCGACATTTGTGAGAATATATGCGAAGTCTATGTCGTGTGGGTCTATGTATGTAACGGGAGAAAAAATGAGGGCAAAGATGAGAAACGACAGGTCACGTGCTGTCCTTGGCTCGTTTGTTAAGGTGCTGCTCCGGCATTTGCCTGCAGCTATTGATCGGAGGAACCATGGAAAATTATGGATCAAAGCAGCCGGCCGCTAGAATTCTCCTCCAGGCAGCGGTTGAGTTCGACCTATGTATAAAGCTAGTGTAAAATATCGGTCACTATCAGGAATCGAAACCTGGAACCTCCCGGTCATAGATGCTGCAGTGGCAACAGTTGTCGCCCTGAGCCTTTTTAGCCGGTTTAGTTTTCGATTCTCTGCCTTAGTGGGGCGAATCTTTTGTTCAAGTGTTCGATGTATTGCTGAAACCATACTGTCGTTAGGAACTTGTAGTACAGAAATCGATCTAGAGCTTCATATTGTTTTCATATTGGAAATCGAAACATATTTCTGATCGTTTCTATTATTAAGTTTTATTAACTCTTCAAATTTAGCCGTTGTATATCCTATATAAGTATTATCACAATAGAGAATTAGAAATCCTGTAATGGATGCGAGTCATTTTAATGTGTCACACGTGAGGCATTGCGACAGATGTCTCATGGAGGTTTTCATTTTACTTGTAAAGAAGATTTAAATTGTTTGCTTCAAGAGCTCTGTACATTTTCAGACTAGAAGTGGAGGACGATGTTACACGATCCAACCGGAAATTTTTGCGGATGTATTAGCGAGTGTGGGGTGTTAGCACATGTAAATCTCTCCTTTTAGCGCTGGCGAATCATGTTGGTTTACGAGGTGGGTTATGTGCGGAGTGTTTAAATCCATGAAAAGCAGTTCTCGTGTCTTTACAGTTACCAGTCCAATCTAGTTTTTTTTCCGTGTATTAGTGAATTTGGAAAAAACGATTCGACGTAAATGTGACCAATTAAACACGGGATCCACTTTGGTTCTGTTGAAAAAGAAAAGAAAAAAATATTGTCGTTCAGCCAAAGGCATTTCAGAATAGTATAGCTTTTGGGAGCAACAAGAAACTTCTTTAAATTAACATTGAAAGTGATCAACTATTTAAACATCAATTGAAGTGTGAAAGATGCATGACACAAGTAAAAAACGTATTGAGTAGTTTCTTTGGTAGCTGTCACCAGTGATTCGTATATTAAAAGGTTCAAGAAATAATGCTTAACTAACTCCATTTATTTTACAAACGTTATTTGCTTTTCTCCCAGTGTATACAAATTTGGACATTTGCTTCCTTGGTTTTCTTTAGGAGTATGAAATGGATAATGACTAAGCTGATAAATATAAGGAAAAGTTTCTCATGGTCGGCATAATAGAATAAATAGCTTATTAGAAAAAATACAAACAAAATCATTGCAAATAGTTGAACTATTTCTAGGGATTACATTGACAATTTTAAAAATAGAACGTTACTCGTGCGCAACAAAATGGTTGAAAGAATTTTGTAATATTAGTAGAAACTTTTTGTTCAATAATGCTTTTGTTTTAATTGTTATATAATCAACAATTAATGTTTATTAGGACGTGGTTCGGGGTTTATGATATTATCGTGATTAGTGATGGAAAATTCAGGCCTATTTATTCGTAGTAGATTAATTTTCCATAAATTTTTTGTTTCGTCAGGCCGTTAGCCGCTAAAGAATTGCATTGAAGGCCGCAATGCAGTCGAAAAAACTAAATTATGGAAAACTAAATTATTATAATGAGACTACACCTGATTTGTCCATTTCTTATAATGTTTTATTAGGTGGTGTAGTGTGATTCTCCAGAAGACGTACCGTGAGAGATGACTCAGGACATCAACTGATGTCACTGACAGAGAGGTTCTAGTTTCGAGTCCCAACGGTAGCAGGATTTTTCGACACTAGCTTTCCAGTTAGGACGAATTCAGTCGC